GGAGAATCCGTTTGGATGCTCGCAGCGAAGGATCACCATCCCTCCTGCAGGCGCTGGGTATTCTCCGCTCCAGCCCTCGAAGGTCACCTTGGCGTTCGGGATCGATGGGTGCTCTCCCAGACACACATCTGCGTTTCTCCCGACTCGAAATGATGCGACTTTTTCAAAACTCGCATCAAGATGATCATTTGGACTCACTCTGAACGTAGGAGCTGTATCCGTCGGCTTCCTCAACGCCACTCTTCCCGTTGAGAATCAGCTGGCAGGACCCATCTGAATTCCGATAGTTGAAGGCATAACATGGTGGGTTCTGCATGATGCACGTCAGCCCGCAATTTCCGAGCGTTTCCTCCGTAGTTTCGAATGTGATGTTGTTGTATCTCTGTCCGGAATGAGCAGCATAATGGGTGATGAAATCTGCCGAAGCCATACCATGAAGCAAGAGAAAGAACCACGCCAGAATGACCGCAGGATCATGGACATGTCCGGATAGACGTTCCATTCTTATGGATTCCTATGGCCGATGAGAAGAACAGGCATGAGTCCCGTCGTTGGAGGGAAAGGAGGCCATGAGGTTGACATTAGCCATCGACTCGGATTCGTGGGCGAGGGGAGCATGCGATGTTCTATCGGCTGCGTGCGCAACGCGAACAAAACTGAGACCGTAATAAAAAACTTTCACCGAATTCCTACTAACTTGTTCTTTCTATGCAATCCTTATTCCCTGGCAAGTTCTTCAAACAAGTTTAGAAAGAAACGGTCACGTAAATTGCTTAAGGTATTTGAATGGATACTCCACCCCATTGAGAGCAAAAACATTTAAGCACTGTTGGTCAAAATTGAAAAATCGATCTCCCGTTGCTAACCTAATTGCAAAATTTACACCCGGCACGAAAAAGTATCAAGTCGAAAAGAGGATAAAAGTTTCAGTCGAGTTTGTATTGTGTAAGAGTTGCCTCGATGCCCTCTGGCTTCGAGACGGCTTCGTCATACCCAGCCCATTTCTCGCTGATCTCTTGCCGTGCATTTACTGTTTGGAGGAGTAGGTTTCCTTCGACCGTCTCTGGTGTCATGGGCATATGGGGCGGATTTAATATTCACGTCTTGTTTGCTCTCTCAGCCTAGGGATTCCTCCTTCGCCAATCCGATTGATGGATGTCCCCTCATTTCTTCTTTGTTTTTCTGCCAGCTGTTGCATGCATGTCGAGCCAGTCTGTCGAGAAAACGGTTTTTTTCCGGCGCCTTGCGGTGAAAATGTCTAAAACGGCCAATTCAGAATTAAAGGTTTGCAGATTATTTCTCTTCAGAGAAAGAAGATAAGCGGACTCATGATGGTTCGCAAGCTTTTCGGGAAATCTCCGAACTAACCGAAATCCCTGAGATTGTTCAATAAATCGAACAATAAATAAACATAGTCAATTGTTCAGGGTATTTATACCACAGTAGCTGATCTTTGACCAACGTTCACCAGACGTTGTTTGTGCCAAACGGGCGATCATTTCGTGCGCCGGATTATATAAAACCAAGGTCTAGATTCGTGAAACCGTTCATCGTCCAAGATTTGGCCTGCATCGTTCATACCATCGATGGGCGACGATAACAAATCTGTAATCGATCGCCAGCGTGACCGAGGAAGAGGACAACAAATGACGACAGGCTTCGAATTGAAACGGGCAAGAGAGCAACAGGCGTGTAGAATGAGAGGAAACCGGACCCGTTTCTCTATTCCTGCTCCGTTCAAGCAGGAAATGTCCCTTGTATTCGATTTTGGTTTCTTGGATAAAGCTGCGAAAGGAGTGCAAATCGCGCGCGGAGTTATTCCCCTTTTGATCGGAGAAACTCACGTCGACTTGCGTGTGCGGCCAGGGGCGAGACAATGGCTGACTGGAGTGCCTGGATTTCGTCGTGTTCTTCGTGTGTGGGATTTCATAATTACTTATTAGAAGAAATCTCCAATACCTGACTTTAGAACGGTCATAATCCGATGAATTGAGGAGTGTCATGACTTCCAGAGCTGGTGATTCTTTAGCTGAATGAAACGACTGATTCTTCATTCGCCGTTTAGTGCTCGAATTAGACCTTGCCCATTCCTGCCCAAGGTCTCATGGACATGAGGCACCCGATAATAATTCTGACTGATACTTTTTTCTCCGCTTAGGGTTGATAAATTTCCTCCACCTCTGCCAATTTGATTAATATATGTTCCCTCCCTACCAAAACTTCTATCTGGAACCACCTCGCCGAACGACCAGGTGAAGAGGAGGCGGATTCGGAACCTGGTGTATCTTTCCCCCTGGGGTGCCATTATTAACCAAGCGGAAAGCAAGCCTACGGAGACATCCAACTGGCTCCAAAGTTTTGTATAGGCTCTCTTCTCTCTCTTTCTCATCCTGTTGGCAGTTCCACACCGTGACTGTCACACACGTCAAGTCGATCTGTTATGTCTGTTATACATCTGATACATGAAATGACACGACAGTGACTTTCGGGCACCTTGCAGAGGTAATGTCCATGTGGCGTGTGGTAAATAGCGAAACCGAAGATGATATGAGGTGAATTGTGCCAATTAGCTTTTTCTTTTAACTGACCCTTCTTCAAGTCTTCTTTTTCTCTTCGCGGAGGAGCTGACACTGAGGGTCAACTGAAGCTTCCATCGATTGACCATTGAAGTGTTTTTTTTTTTTAGTTTGCACACAGAAAAGAGGCAACATGAAGTCAGAATGTAATGAACCCGAAAGGATCATCAAGTTGAGGTTCATCAAATGAATTGGGATTAAACTAATCAAGGATTAACCTAATGTACGTTTTATGAATAATCACAGGAGAAAAAGTACTTGTTCAAAGACGTACTCTTTCAAATTCGGTGCATTTACGCTATTCCAAAAGCGTCTCACTTTTTTCTTTAAATCTTCTTTTCTTCGGCTTCAAACATGTATTGTCTTGCGAATAATTTTATCGATTTTTTCCTTGCCAACGATTCAAATGCTGATCAAATCAACAACTTTGAATAAACTCAATCAACGAAAATTGACGTTATTCAATCTGTGTTTCTGAAATGTTCATTTATTCCACAGAGGCTGTAATGAAGGAAATCATTTGCATTGCAATTGTGTGGCAAATAAATGAGCATCCAAGATATATAAATGTAATGCGGTTTTCGCTGCTGAAACTGGGAAACATCAAGAAATTTGTTTTCACATCCGCATCAGAGCACACTTTCGTGAAAGAAATGGCAAAAAATTACATTCAGATGGAATAATGCACTGATCATCATTAAACACGTTCAGGGTAGCTGGCGCTGGTTCGGAATCTGTACATATCTACCAATAATCTCAAGATGTTGAGAAAGAGAGAAGGGAAGAGTAAAGAGAGGGAAAGAGGGAGAAAGAGAGAGAGAGAGAAAAAAAGGGAGCCAATTTTTGCATAAGACTTCCCCCAGCCAATTTTCTTTCGCAAGTGAAGTGGCACTAAAAAGCACACCATGGTTGCAGGAGACAATTTTCGTAAAAATGACAAGGCAGCCCTTAGCAGAAGGAAAAAGGAACATAATGCAGGGGTGAGGAATAGGGTGACCACCAACACGCAATAACACACAACAACCCAACATCTTCCCAGAAGATCTCTGCGTGACAAGACCCTCAAGGAGAGAGCGGAGAGTTGGTCCTTGAACGTTATATTCCGTTAAGTGCAGCTTAAAACGGTGAATCTCTCATCTCCCCTTAAGATCACATTGTACTGGCCCTTATATTAACAGTTCAAAATAACAATGAGAGAAAGAACAGCGGTTCAACATAGTCTCCAAGAGTGTTGCTCGACGCAACATATGTAACTATGAATGATCCATAAGTTCATAAGCGCTCAACATGTCCGCCATCGTCGTTACTTACTGCGGAAACTTCTTTTCGCCATTCCGACATGCCAGCATTTTCCATTGTGCAGAAATTGAATGATATTGAACCCATCCTCAATCTTTTGATGGTACATCGAAATGTTTCACCGTGATTCTTAAGTGATATGATCCATAAATCCTAAGTTACAGAGTGTATGGATCGAAGCACTGCTCGAACAGCTGCAGCACTCCTCCATGCCCCCCTCCTCCTTCTCCACCCTCCCCCCTTCCCCCCAACCTATAAAATGTTTACGTAGCCTGAACGGAAGGAGAGAAAACAATCCGCACAAGATTGGCTTTTTATAGAGATCGAAGGACTGTGTTGGTCCTCGCGGAATGGGTGGGTCATCAGTGCGTCTCAAGACGGAACCATGGAGTAAGATGGAGTCGCTTTGGGTTCGACGAGGTTTCAGAGCGAAAGCTGAAGTGGATGGGTTGGAGATGGTTAGAATAATCCTGTTTAAATGGCGGAATGAAGACTTTTCAGCAACGTGGTATGTCGCAGTATTCCCATTCGGGACGCTTTCCAGCTCCATTATAGCACCAAGGACCGGCTGGATCCGAGGTTGGGTTTCGACAAAAGTTGTGAGAAGAGTGTAGATCGTCCGGAAAGCTTCTTCCCTTTGGATTGTAGTAGTACTTCTCGTGTAGTTCGTGCGGCGTATGGCTCAACCACGGCTGGCAGGGGTGCCCCGATTTCGTCCTATTCTTCGTTCCCATATACTCCGTCCCAGACTGAATTCGGCATTCTGTTGGACCTGGAAGACATTTTTTGGAGCAAAATATAAAGCACATCACACATTCCACGAAATTTTGCTGGAGATGGAGGAGAATGAATCAAGTCTTCCAATATCACTTGAGATATTCCATAAAACATAGGAAGCATGCTAACTAATGCATTTCCCTGCGACTCGAATGTCGCATTGTGATCCATCGCTCGAAGGACAAAAGGACACTGCGCAGTACTCCCATCTTAGCTCTGTGTCGGATGCTAAAAAGCACCATGGACCGTGAAAAAGGCCATCTGGGTTCCGGCAAAAGTTGTGGCTCCCGTCCACTTCATCTGAGAATGCAGACAGTCGTTGTTCTATCATGTCGTGTGGATTTGGAAAATTAGTCAGCCAATGCTGGCAAGGGAACCCCGAGAAGGTCGCGTTCTGCTTCCCGACGTATTCTCCTCCCTGCATCGTTAGCTTGCATTCTGGCGGATCTGAAACAAATTAACTGCCCTCTGAAGCTCCGTAGAAGACTCAGAATTGATATATTAATAATTAAGGATTCTACTTTGGTCGTGGCAGCGGGGTATGTCGCAGTACTCCCACTCGATCTCAGGGTCAGTGACGAAGCACCAGGGCCTTTCCCTGTGCAGTCCCGAATTTCTGCAGTAGTTCTCGTGGATTGATGGATCCAGATTGAGAAAATGCCCCGCATATTCCCCATCCCGATTGAGGAAATCCCACGGTGTGCCATATGGTCGGTTCCCCCAAGTGAGACAAGTTTTTCCCGTCTCGGTCTCGCTCCTCCTCCCCACGTATTCCTTCCCCTTCTCCGACAATCGGCATTCCGGATACACGTGTCCGTCGTCTCCTTTTTCAGCTCGTCCTCCACAAAAGGAAACGTTGCAGTATTCCCATATCGTAGAATTCTCTTCCGTGTAAGAGCACAACGGAGCGGCGTCTGCGTTCGGATTCCGGCAGAAGTTGAAGTGCTCGTCGATCTCATCAGAATCCGCGAATCCCGGAAGGTAATTATCGATGGTGAAATTCTCCTGCTCATATGTCAAGCTTCTCCAAGGCTGGCATCGACGACCAGAAAGGGTGGTGTTCTGTTTCCCAATGTATTCACTTCCCTGTTGAGTCACCTTGCACTCGGGATGATCTGTTTGCAAAATTAAGTGATTTTGGTTGAAAGTAAGAAGAGAGCACAGAGGTTGAATTTTTTCATTTTGCTTAATGCAGCACTCCTTTTAGATGCAGTGCTGTTATTTTTTTGACGCTTTGGACTCATTCCTTCATGACATGATCTAAATAGCGGAAAGCCTTGAGTGGGAAATAGCGAGATAGAAATTCCCATAGGTCCTGGTCGTCGGCCCAGTATTCCGCGACTCCTGAATTCATTGGTTTAAAGAGGCTATGAAAACGCATGCAAATTGAATTGGAGCTAAAAGCCTAAATATTCAACAATTTTGCACTGCCACCTGGCTTCCTATTCTTTATCCTAATGGAAGACTTTCTAGATGCCTTAATACACCCTTACGAAAATGTCTTATAGGATTCCTATATATTCCTTAAGGAATATATAGGAATCCTATAGGAATCCTATAGGAACCTAAAGGAATCCTATAGGATCGTATATGCCCCTTTAGACTTCAGTTTGGGACCTATACAGTTCCCTATAGAACCTATGGATACCCCTATAGAACCTAAAGGGTTCCCCATGAGGCCTATATATTCCCTATAGGACCCAAACGGTTCTGTATAGGACCCGTAGGGTTCCCTATAAAACCCATAGGGTTCCCTATAGGACCTGTAGGGTTCGCTATAGGACCTATAGGATTCACTATAGGACCTATAGGATTCTCTATAGGACCTATAGGGTTCCTTATAGGGCCTATAGGGTCCCTATAGGACCTATAGGACCTATACGGTTCCCTATAGGGCTTATACGGAACCCTATAGGCCTATAGGGTTCCGTTTGAAGTTCTCCTCTAGGCCACTAGATGGAAGTATTGGGTTCGCACATTTCTGAAAGGGTACAAAAGTGCCCTCCCCTTACCCAAGGAAACATCTCTCAGAAGAGAGTTTTGTACGTCCCCTAATGTCTCTCCTTGCCTCATTGTTGGAATCAATTAACTTTAACAGTTCCTTATTTGCCATGCCCATCTTCCAGATATAATCATGGAATCCCGTGAAGAAATATTCCCATATTCTTTTTGAAGGCCACGTACGAAACTGAATAGACTCTATCCAAATGGAGTTTCAGTAAAGAGACGTGCTCGCAGGTTCTGTCTTCTATTTCCTTAGGTCGAGAGAAGAATACCACTTCTTCTTACCGAAGGAAGTAGATGTACAATCCAGCGACGCATGTGGGGTGGGGTCATAAATTATGCAGACCCCCGCAGTACTGGTATTAATAGTGGATGTGTCCCTACCATGGAAAATCCCCTAATCGGTTTTTTATTTACACCGAAATGCTTCGCCAATATTAACCCCGGTCGCTTTTTCGTCGTAATGCCTGGGTTTCGAAACCCAAAATATCCTCCCCGAATCCTATAGGTCAGGAGACCTATAAGACCCTATAGGGATCCTATAGGATCCTAAAGGATCCTATAGGTTTTTCGTGTTTCAAAAACCTATAGGAAAGTCTATAGGTTTCCTATAAGAAATAACTATAGGTTTCCTATAGGACATTTCCGTAAGGGCATTGACCATCCCATCATGCAATTCCTTTTCAATTTCCATGATTTTCTGAGAAACAAAAGGAACATTTTGCAGTTGAAAAATATAAGCGTTTCCTGCTTCTTGTATGGCAAATAAGCAATTCTTGAAGTTATTCAAATAAGTTGGAGGACGAGGAGGGAGCCGAGTACATTTTGACTAAACTCATTCTTCCACGCAAAATCATGAATTGAAAAAGGATGAAAGAGTCATGATTTACCTCTATCGGTGCACATGGGGATTTCGCAGTATTCCCATTGAATTTCAGGGTCGGATATGAAACACCAGGGTCGCTTCTTCCCTGAGGGATTCCGGCAGTAGTTCTTCTGGGACCAGACGTCCAGGTTCGGGAAATGCCCGGCGTAACTGACCTCGTTGGAAAAGTCTTCTGGTTTTCCATAGGGTTGGATGTCCCATCTCAAACACTCCTTTCCCGATTCGGAGTTCTTCATCTTTCCTATATACTCTCTTCCCTTCACGGTCAGTCGGCATTCTGGGTATGTATGCTGCTGCTTACCTGCAAAATGTTAGCTCGGGCAGCATAATGACGATGACGAATTTGCCAACTAACGACGCTACGACGTCCGCTTGAGAATACGAGAGATCCCATGTTATCTTCATTTTCATTTTTATGAAACAAAGTCACAAACAAACAGATTGCGTTTGATTTCTCAGAGAAACAGAGTTTCGTTAGGGTATTATTACTGTCAGCTGATCCAAGACGAATGAATGAACCGAGTTGAACCAGTTACAGGAAAAAGTGGGGAAACGGCCGAAAAAGTATTTAACATCTTAAAGACAAAAATTTGGTTCATCATGGTCTCAATCAGTCCAATATGAAAGGTGGATCAATATTGGTTTGCTTCGATCTTGATTCATCTTTGTTTCATTGTGCATGACATTTACGGTCTTTTTTTTTCTTATGGGGAACCCTATTGGTTCTATAGGGAACCCTATAGGTTCTATAGGAAACTCTATAGGTTCTATAGGGAACTCTATAGGTCTCAAACTGAACTCTATTGGGCATATAGGATCCTATAGGATTCCTTTAGGTTCCTATAGGATTCCTATTGGATTACTATATATTCCTAAAGGAATATATAGGAATCCTATAAGACATTTTCGTAAGGGAACATTTTGTATTTAAGCTTATTTCTCTACCGTATACGATTATTAATTTACCGGGAACGGAAAATCCCGTATAAATTGATCACCATCGCGCCAACTACCTACATTCCAAATTACAATGTCACAATCGAATTCTTATCAATCTTATCAATTTGCGGTTATCTCAGTGAGGTGAATTCTTCGGCATGGCACTTTCACTTTTCAAGTTCTCTGCTAGAAAATTCTGAAGCCTTAGGTGAGTCGTATGGACTCCAATTGAAGTCCTTACAGTTGACGTCCTTCGCTGCGAAGGAGCTACACCATGAATCGAGTGATACTGAAGAGCATTGAGCGGTGTGGAGAGAAAAACCATCTGAGAATCCTTCGGGATGATGACAGCGGAGCACCACCATCCCTCCTGGAGGCGCTGGGTATTCTCCGCTCCAACCCTCAAAGGTCACCGAAGCGTTCGGGATCTTGGGGTACTCTCCTAAGCACAGTCCTGCGTTCGCCACGATTTTTGGGGACGTAAAAATTTTTCACATTCTCATTCAGAGAATCAGCTTTGGACTCACTCTGAACGTAGGCGCCGTAGCCGTTGGCTTCCGTAAGGTTGCTCATTCCGTTGAGAACCAGCTGGCACGATCCATCCGATTCCCGATAGTTGAAGGCATGGCATGGTGGTTTCTGCACCATGCATTTCTTCACGCATTTACCAACATTGTCTTCCGTAGTTTCCAAAGTGACGTTGTCGTATCTCTGCCCGGGATGTGCAGCATAATGAGTGATGAAATCATTTGAGACCACCCCGCAAGGGAAGAGAAGGAACAACGTCAAAGTGAACCCCGATGCATGTCGGAGATTCCAGAGGTGTTCCATAGTTACGGCATACGGACAATTGGGAGGACCGGAATGAGGAATGGGCATATGGAGAGAGACCTTCAGCTTGACATCGACTATCGACTGGGTAGATGGAGCTAGCGATATTCTAATGCATGCGTGCGCAACATGAACATGCTGCGAATGAGCCCCTTCATTTCTTTCCTCCTTCAGGGGATTGTGGATATCAGTTTCCATATACATATGGTTTGACCGGGGTCTGACCTCAGACCTCAAGAGATCGTTCTTTAGCTGTGCCGGTCTTCTCGAGCGATGGTCATCCGAGATGTTAAAATCATCTCTATAAACATCAAAAATATTTTTCAACTCAACAGGGAAGTGAAAACATTGGGAAATAGAACACCACCCTTTCTGGTCGTCGATGCCAGCCTTGGAGAAGCTTGACATATGAGCAGGAGAATTTCACCATCGATAATTATCTTCCAGGATTCGCGGATTCTGATGAGATCGACGAGCACTTCAACTTCTGCCGGAATCCGAACGCAGACGCCGCTCCGTTGTGCTCTTACATGGAAGAGAATTCTACGATATGGGAATACTGCAACGTTTCCTTTTGTGGCGGACGAGCTGAAAAAGGAGACGACGGATACGTGTATCCGGAATGCCCATTGTCGGAGAAGGGGAAGGAATACGTGGGGAGGAGGAGCGAGACCGAGACGGGAAAAACTTGTCTCCCTTGGGGGAACCGAGGATATGGCACACCGTGGGATTTCCTCAATCGGGATGGGGAATATGCGGGGCATTTTCTCAATCTGGATCCATCAATCCACGAGAACTACTGCCGGAATCCGGGACTGCACCGGGAAAGGCCCTGGTGCTTCGTCACTGACCCTGAGATCGAGTGGGAGTAGTGCGACATACCCCTCTGCCAAGACCCCAGTAGGATCCTTAATTATATCAATTCTGAGTCTTCTACGGAGCTTCCGAGGGCAGTGAATTAGTTTCAGATCCGCCAGAATGCAAGCTAACGATGCAGGGAGGAGAATACGTCGGGAAGCAGAACGCGACCTTCTCGGGGTTCCCTTGCCAGCATTGGCTGACTAATTTTCCAAATCCACACGACATGACAGAACAACGACTGTCTGCATTCTCAGGTGAAGTGGACGGGAGCCACAACTTTTGCCGGAACCCAGATGGCCTTTTTCATGGCCCGTGGTGCTTTTTAGCATCCGACACAGAGCTAAGATGGGAGTACTGCGCAGTGCCCTTTTTTCCTTCGAGCGATGGATCACAATGCGACATTCGAGTCTCAGGGAAATGCATTAGTGAGCATGCTTCCTATGTTTTATGGAATATCTCAAGTGATATTGGAAGACTTGATTCATTCTCCTCCATCTCCAGCAAAATTTCGTGGAATGTGTGATGTGCTTCATATTTTTCTCCAAAAAATGTCTTCCAGGTCCAACAGAATGCCGAATTCAGTCAGGAACGGAGTATATGGGAACGAAGAATAGGACGGAATCGGGGCATTCCTGCCAGCCGTGGTTGAGCCATACGCCGCACGAACTACACGAGAAGTTCTACTACAATCCAAAGGGAAGAAGCTTTCCGGACGATCTACACTCTTCCCACAACTTTTGTCGAAACCCAACCTCGGATCCAACCGGTCCTTGGTGCTATAATGGAGCTGGAAAGCGTCCCGAATGGGAACACTGCGACATACCACGTTGCTGAAAAGTCCTCATTCCGCCATTTAAAAATCATTATTCTAACCATCTCCCACCCATCCACTCCTTTTTCCTTCTGCTGACATGTAAATAACAAATGACACTTAATTGCATTGGTGTCTTGGCTATGACACCCTCGCTAAATGGGGCTGCCTCGTTATTTTTAAGAAAATTGTCTCCTGCATCCATGGTGTGCTTTTTAGTGCCACTTCACCTGCGAAAGAAAATTGGTTGGGGGATGTCATGTGGTAAATTTGGCCCCCCCTTTTCTCTCTCTCTCTCTTTTCCTCTCTTTCCCTCTCTTTACTCCTCTCTTCTCTCTTTCTCAAGGTTTTGAGATTATTGGTAGATATGGACAGATCTAGAACCAGCGACAGTTACCTCGAACGTCTTTTATGATGATCAGTGCATTATCCAATCTGATTGTAATTTTTTTGCCATTTCTTTCACGAAAGTGTGCTCTGATGCGGATGTGAAAACAAATTTCTTGATATTTCCCAGTTTCAGCAGCAAAAATCGCTTTACATTTATAATATCTTAGATCCTCATTTATTTGCCACACAAGGGGAATGCAAATTTTTTCCTTTATTCCAGTCTCTGCGGAATAAATGAACATTTCTGAAACACAGTTTAAACAACATCAATTTTTGTTGTTTGAGTTTATTCAAAGTTGTTGATTTGATTAGCATTTGAATCGTTGGCAAGGAAGAAATGGTTAAAATTATTCGCAAGACAATACATGTTTGAAGCCGAAGTATTCCCATCCCGCACCGTAACCAATTTGGAATAAAAATTGAAACTAAGGTTATGAGGGAAGTCAAATGGAGAAAAGAAGATTTAAAGAAAAAAGTGAGACGCTTTTGGAATAACGTAAATGCACCGAATTTGAAAAAGTATGTCTTTGAACAAGTACTTTTTCTCCACTGATTATCAACATAACGTACATTAGGTTAATCCTTGATTAGATTAATCCCAATTCATTTGATGAACCTCAACTTGATGATCCTTTCGGGTTCATTACATTCTGACTTCATGTTGGCTCTTTTCTGTTGGCAAACTAAAAAAAAAAACACTTCAATGGTCAATCGATGGAAGCTTCAGTTGACCCTCAGTGTCAACTCCTCAGCGAAGAGAAAAAGAAGAATTGAAGAAGGATCAGTTAACAAAAAAAAAGCTAATTAGCACCATTCACCTCATATCATCTTCGGTTTCGCTATTTACCACACGCCACATTGAGATTATCTCTGCAAGGTGCCCGAAAGTCACTGTTGTCACATTTTATGTATCACATGTATAACAGACATAACAGATCGACTTGACGTGTGTGCCCAGTCACGGCGTGGAACTGCCAACAGGATGAGAAAGAGAGAGAAGAGAGCCTATACAAAACTTTGGAGCCAGTTGGATGTCTCCTTAGGTTTGTTTTCCGCTTGGTTAATAATGGCACCCCAGGGGGAAACATACACCAGGTTCGGAAACCGCCTCCTCTTCACCTGGTCGTTCGGCCAGGTGGTTCCAGATGGACGTTTTTGTAGGGAGGGAACATATATTAATCAGGTTGACGGAGGTGGAGGAAATTTATCGACCCAAAGCCGAGAAGAAAATATCAGTCAGAATTATTAATGGGTCCCTCATGTCCATGACGCCTTGGGTAGGAAAGGCCACTGTCTACTTTGAGCACTAAACTTTCTGCTGGAACGTATTCCGTTCCGGTTTCCATTTATTCTACACGTCTGTTGCTCTCCTGCCCGTTTCCATTCGAAGCCTGTCGTCATTTGTTGTCCTCTTCCTGGGTCACGCTGGTGGTCGATTGCAGAATTGTCATTGTTGCCCATCGATCGTATGAGCAATGCAGGCGAAATCCTGGACGATGAACGGTTTCACGAATCCAGAATTTGGTTTTATTTAATCCGGCACGGGAAATGATCGCTCGTTTGGCACAAACCACGTCGGGTGAACGTTGGTCAAGGATCAGCTACTGTGGGATAAATACTATAGACTATGTTTTTCAGGACACAATGGTGAGAAGGGCTAGATCGCCGTTTAGGCGCCACCTCGCTTCATTTATTGAACAATCTCGGGGATTTCGGTTAGTTCGGTGATTTTTCGAAAAGCATGCAAACAATCATGAGACCGCGTATCTTCTTTTTCTGAAGAGAAGTAATCTGCCAACATTTTATTCTGAATTGGGCCGTTTGTACATTTTCTCCGCAAGGCGCCGGAAAAAAAAATTTTCTCGACAGACTGGCTCGACATGCATGCAACAGCCGGCAGAAAAACCACGACGAAATAAGGCGACATCCATCAATCGGATTGGTGGAGGAGGAGGAGGAGGAGGAATCCCTAGGCTGAGAGAGCAAACACGACGTGAATATTAAATCTGCCCCATATGCCCATGACACCAGAGACGGTCGAAGGAAAAGTTCTCCTCCAAACAGTAAATGCAGGGCACGAAATCATCTAGAAATAGGCAGAGCAAGAAATCAGCGAGAAATAGGCATGGCATGGCGAAGCCGTCTCGAAGCCAGAGGGCATCGAGGCAATTCCTACTCGATACAGAACTCGACTGAAACTTGTAAACTCTTTTTGACTCGATGATACTTTTTCGTGTCGGGTGTAAGTTTTGCAATTAGGTTTTAACATCGGTTAGCAACGGGAGATCGATTTTTCAATTTGGACCTATAGTGCTCAAAAGTTTTTGCTCTCAATGGGGTGGAGTGTCCATTCAAATACCGAAAGCAATTTACCCAACCATTTCTTTCTGAACTTGTTTGAAGAACTTGCCAGGGAGGGAAGATTGCGTGGAAAGAACAAGATGTCGCAACTTAGAAATGAGTTTCTTTTTTTACAGTCTCAGTTTGTTCGTTTTGCGCACACAGTCAAAAGAACATCGCATACTCCCCTCGTCCACGTATCCGAGTCGATGGCTAATGTCAATCTCACGGTTTCCTTTTCCTCCAACGACGGGACTCATGACTGTTCCTCTCATCTGCCATAGGAATCCATAAGAATGGAACGTCTATCCGGCCATGTCCATGAGCCTGCGGTCATTCTGGCGTTGTTCTTTCTCTTGATTCATGGTGCGGCTTCGGCAGATTTCATCACCCATTATGCTGCTCATTCCGGACAGAGATACAACAACGTCACATTCGAAACTACGGAAGAAACGCTCGGAAAATGCGGGCTGACGTGCATCATGGAGAACCCACCATGTCATGCCTTCAACTATCGGAATTCAGACGGGTCCTGCCAGCTGATTCTCAACGGGAAGAGTGGCGTTGAGGAAGCCGACGGATACAGCTCCTACGTTCAGAGTGAGTCCAAATGATCATCTTGATGCGAGTTTTCAAAAAGCATTCATTTCGAGTCGGGAGAAACGCAGGTGTGTGTCTGGGAGAGCACCCATCGATCCCGAACGCCAAGGTGACCTTCGAGGGCTGGAGCGGAGAATACCCAGCGCCTGCAGGAGGGATGGTGATCCTTCGCTGCGAGCATCCAAACGGATTCTCCGACGGTGTTGCGCGCCACACGGCCAGATGTTCGTCGACGCCGCCGGATTCGTGGTGCAGCTCCTTCCGGGCTGATGGAGTTCGCTGTAAGGACATCCATCGGAAGACAATTACGGAAATAAGTTGTTCAGTAACGGAATCATTCAAATCTTTTAGCTTGTATATTTAGTGTAGGCCTATGAGTTTTTTGGCTCAATTATGTAAAATACCGTACATCTTCAGTTCATAATATCAGTCACTATTTACAAAAGCAGGCTGCAGTTTTTGGAGGTCATCCTGGTCCAACTTGTTGCGGAGTTGCGCATCGTTCCCTCCCCCCGATCCCCCTGAAATATCGATGATCCACCTGAAAATGCTGAATTTTAAGGATCCCTCAGACGGATCTCTCAAGAAGTCTCTCAAGCGGCTTCTTGTCAGTTCTTACGAGAATCCTTCCACTCTCCTCGAAGCCTTTCGCTTTTTATTGGGGCCATTATTGAAATGGGAGTCATTTTTTTACAGTAGGGGGGGATTTTCTCCTCTCGCAGGCCAAGAATACAGTTTTTTTTGTGGATATTCCTTAGAAGGATGTTTCCAGAATCCAATGATACCAAGATTGCTTGCTTTCTTCATAGGGGTTAGATGATGCTGGGATTTTCCTCCCGACACATACCCGCAAAACTTCACTCGTTGGATATTAATGGAACGGGGTCAAAGCGCATCACTAGGAATCTAAATTATCCGAAGTTGCGTGCAGTGAGCTCAAACAATCAAAATATGCACACATTCCAAACATTCCTATTATTATTATCCTCAATATCACTCAAAGAAAGCTGTCACCTTTCCAGATATTTCCCATCGCCGAGATACAAAAAAGTGCAAAATCTGTATGCGGAATAAGTTCCTCTCCTGGACTGAGATCGTCAGAACGATTTTAAAAAAAAGTAAATTTCCAGTTTTCGAGACGACTGAGGAAAACATTTTCTAGAACTCGCTTTATAAAGCTTTTTTCCGAGAACTATGATTGAGCAGTTCGGTTGCACGCCAGCCACCTGTCACCTGCTCCAGCCACCAAACACCTGCACCAGCCACCAAGGCAATCCTAGCATATTAATGCCATTTCCAGGAATTTTTTTTTTTTATATCACCATTCCAAGGCGAGCAGCAGCACACCTATCCGGAATGCCTCGTGACGAAGAAAGGAAGTGACTATGTCGGAACGGTGAAGAACACGGAATCGGGAGAAAAGTGCCTGCCATGGGACGATCTGCCCTACGGGATACCAGATGACTTCTCCCCCACCGAAACCTACCAGTCCCATTTCCCCAACCGCGACGCCTGGTCCCATAACAACTTCTGCCGGAATCCTTCGGGGAGGGAGCGACCGTGGTGCTTCGTCTCCGACGCTTTCCTTCCATGGGAATACTGCGACATCCCCATGTGCACACGCACTGGTAATCAAAACGTTGTGGTTTTGTGACGATATTTGATTAGTGGAAAATTATTCAGCATTCTCATTGTCCCTTAACATTGCTACGGGATAGTTTCGTGGAGTTAGTAGATTTCAATCACACCTGATTTTCGGAGCCGTACAGAACAATATTTATTTATTCATGAAACATCAGACTTCAAGCTAAATATTTGAGTTTTTTTCATGTAGGTACCATGAAAGCTATTGGCTTCAGGATATTAATCAATCCTGCAAAAATTCTTAATAATAATAATTATTATCTTCCCTTTTTGTTGGAACGTTGATCGATGGAAAATTTTCCCCTTTCTCTGGAAATTCTGACTCGATGCCCGTGCTTCGAAATAGAACCTCAAGAATGTAAGGTGACTCAACAGGGCGGGGAATACATGGGGAAGAAGAACGTAACTCGTTCCGGTTTCCCATGCCTGCCGTGGGGGAATTTGCAGCCGATCCGAGACTTGAAGGACCCCTCGGTCCGATTCCCGGATTCTGAGTCGCTTGATGAGGGGTTCAACTTCTGTCGGAATCCGAATGGGGACGCGGCTCCGTGGTGTTTTTATATGGAAGGAGTTTCGCTTGCGTGGGAATACTGCGATGTTCGATTTTGCGAGGGGCAAGGTCGAAGCGGGAAGACAGAGGGGGAAAAGGGCGTGTATCCGGAATGCCGACTGTCGGAGAAGGGGAAGGAATACGTGGGGACGAAGAACGAGACCGAGACGGGAGAGCCGTGTCTCCATTGGGCGACAGAGCCATATGGCACGCCGTGGGATTTCTTCNACGTGGGGACGAAGAACGAGACCGAGACGGGAGAGCCGTGTCTCCATTGGGCGACAGAGCCATATGGCACGCCGTGGGATTTCTTCAATCGGGGCGTGGAATATGCGCTGCACTTTCTCAATCTCGACCCGACGGTCCACAAGAATCACTGCCGGAATCCGGGGCTGTACAGAGAAAGGCCATGGTGCTTCGTCTCGGAAACCAACATCCAGTGGAAGTACTGCGACATCCCCCTCTGCCAAGACCCCAGTAGGATCCTTTACCGGATCACTTCTCTGCCAGTCGGCTTTGCGAAATCGTATATTGAAATTGCAGATCCGCCGGAATGCAAGCTAACGAGGCAGGGAGGAGAATACGTCGGGAAGCGGAACGCGACCCTCTCGGGGTTCCCCTGCCAGCATTGGCTCGCTTCCACTCCCAACAAGCATCTAGCGATAAAGAATCAACTTTCTGCTTTCCCGGATGAAGTGGACGGGAGCCACAACTTCTGTCGCAACCCGGACGGGATCTTCCACGGGCCGTGGTGCTTCATCGGCTCGAACACCGAGCTCATCTGGGAGTACTGCGCAGTGCCCTTTTGTCCCAGAAGCGATGGGGAAGGTTGTAGCATTCTTTCTGTCGCAACCCGGACGGGATCTTCCACGGTCCGTGGTGCTTCATCGGCTCGAACACCGAGCTCATCTGGGAGTACTGCGCAGTGCCCTTTTGTCCCAGAAGCGATGGGGAAGATTGCGACATTCGGGTCTCGGGGAAATGCATCAGTGAGACTCATTTACCTCTTCTTGAGTATATATTTTCGCAAGGACCGTTGTTCCTCGATGCATTATCAAACTTTAGCCTCTCTCAATGCCTTCCGTTGTAGAAATCACTTTTTTCTCCACAGAGCCCGAGGAATGTCGATCCACTTGGTTAGGGGAATATTACACGGGAACGAAGAACACGACGAAATCGGGCTACCCCTGTCAGCCCTCCAACTCGGTGAGGGGGGTGTCTGTCCTGGAAAAAGCGAAGATGCTAGTTTTGCCGGTGTAAAAGGGCCTGCTGAACGTGAGGAAAGTGTTGAAGACAGCCTTGGGTTTGAGCTCTGACCCTCCAGGAAGGTGCTGGAATGGAGTAGGACACGATCCCGAATGGGAATATTGCGATGTTCCCAGCTGTTAAAAGCTTTAACGTTGCCAAAAGACATTGCGAATTTTTTTTTCCTTCGTCTCTCCCGCAAGAATAGCGATGTAAATTGTTGTGGGTATCGTTAGAAAATTCCTTTAAGCGATTCGGTTGTTCATGGTTGGCACTACTTCCTGCACGTTCGTCGCACCCCATCAGAAACCAGAAATCCTTGAACCTATAATGATCGCGGATTCTTGTATTAGGGAATTTGATGACACCATACCGATTTCAACATTTGTAGCTAAATGTATGACTCTTAGAGGCGATTACATTGAACCTGCATTCCTTATTCGCGTTTTCCGTTGAGCTTCACCATTAATATTGGCGGTCGCATTAGCTTTAGATGCTGACATTCTCATCCGTGAGTGGCTAAACGGATATTAGTCCTGAGGGCCATTTGCCCATTGGCAATCCGCAATAGAACGGAATGAAATTTTGGAACGGCCTGCCGATGTTGGTTTCATTTTGCGTTCCAGTCTTTTGCCATTTTCTTGGATGCGTGTAGCAAAATGTTGAATGTTTTCGGTACTATTCGCCAAAGCCATCGATCGACGTAAGTGTCTCATTTTCTGGTTTCCTTTTGTTTCTTTGCCCTCATCACTCCTCAAATTTACCTCTGAGAAGAAATTCATTCCCTTGAATTGAATGAGCCATTATTCGAATAGTTTTTACGTGAGATGATCAAAAAGCTTTCAGACTCAGTCGCTTCCAGCGGTAATGCACCATTATTGACCAAACGAGAACACAGAAGTCTTTGATGGTGACTGGCAAATTGTCATCGTATTTGTCAGTTAGGGATGGCTTCTACGAATTTTTTCAAATTTGCCTTGATAGTGTCCACTGAATTGCAATTACAATTGAAGCGAATGATCCGATGATCCCTAACCTCAAAAATTAAAGGAATTGGTTTTCCTATAGGTCTTATCCTCCATTAAAACGAGAAATTCTCTAATATAAAATACAAAAGTAGAACAGAAGAAAAAATAGGCATTGGACCATCGGAATTATTAGGTTCCATCTTCATTCCACTCGACCGGAAACTTCGGTCTCGGAGTTTCTGATCGAGTGGGATTGCCATTGTGCAATTTCGCAATCGAGTGCAATCGCCAAAAATTGTCGTATCGTCCGATGACTAATGTGTTGATATAGTTTTTAATCCTAGGGAGCAGGATGACACCAAAATTAGTCTATTTCAGGAAAGGAGGCGCACCTAAATAATTCCTACATTAATAATGCAAGACAAAGACTGTCCACATTTTGTCATGCAACATCGCGAAAGAACATGCGTGCGACATCAAACCAGTCTCTACTCGCACCGGGTTCATTCCGCTACTCCCTATGCACCATATGCATCACCTATGGCCTTCGTTCAGAGTCCAAACCTGGAACATTCAATCTATAGGGAGGTTAAAAAGTCACCATACATAGGGAAACTGTGTGTTTTCAAAGTAATGGCAACCATGTAGAGCATATTTTGTGAATAAAGTTACATTTTGTTAAAAAGTGTTAATTTTCCCTATGTATGGAGACTTTTGGACCACTCTGTATATTCCAAGATGACAAAGTTGTGAGTCTCCTCAAAGTTTGATGCACAGCACCAAATGTTATTTTGGTGCTGATCATCACCAAATTCCACGACTGGGGAAGGAAAATCACGAATGCTGTTAGTTTCCCGGGGAAAAAAATTACTCGCTAATGAAACATTAATTTCTCTCACTATTCGTTCCGTCATATTTTTCTCATGATATTTTAGTTCATTGAGGGATGTAAATTAATTTTGGAATTTCTCTACAGGTACCATATGAATACTCCCGTCTTCTCTCTGCATTATCCAGTCTCGATCGAAGACCCATCATGTATTAGTTTACCTGTTTTTCAGCACAACTCTGCGTTATCGGCATTTTATTTAAATGGTCCTCCTGTGCTTGATTTGGGAAAATGAATCATTTATTGCCTATATAAAGGTTGATAATTGAATTACTGAGCAAAAAAAAGGCCAACCCATGGTGTCGTGAATGTTATCGGCATTTTATTTAAATGGTCCTCCTGTGCTTGATTTGGGAAAATGAATAATTTATTGCCTATATAAAGGTTGATAATTGGATTACTGAGCGAAAAAAAAGGCCAACCCATGGCGTCGTGAACTCACCAAAACTCCTTTCACTTCAAACATGGTCACGATATCCCACACCTTCAGTATTCTTTTATACCCAAAAACGAACGAAATACCATTTAGGTTTTATGGACAGTGTTAATAACTTACGAGTGTGGGAGTTTTATTGTAGTTCTTGTTCAATATGCTCCCAATCCGCTAAGACTTTCTTACTTTGGTTGACTCGCTCTAAATTTTTATTTTTTTTACGTGCTTTTTATTGTCGCAATCTAATGCCTTCGACAAGTTCGTCTCCGTGGTCGAGGGCATTTCCGTCAGTTTTCAATGGGAAAATTATTTATTTAATTTCCTTGGAATGGAATTCGTTTATATGAACTGGCCGCATGGTAAATGCCACTTCAGATTCGTGGAATCCTAAATACCATCTTCCACATCTCCTATAGTAACCTCTCCCGTGACCACGATTTTAATCGATTCGTGAATCGGCGAGGCTAGGAAACACGTACGAGCCACGTCGGAGACGACCTTCACTTTTCCGGCCGTTCTTCCTCCCCTTCCGTCGGTCATTAATCGGCTTCTTCGGCTTCTCAAGGGGCCGCTCCGACCTCCACTCGACACTTAGTCGCCGCATGGAACCTCCCAGCCCATCCTCCCAGAACTGGAGGTCGGGAAAGAGAGAAACGGGTCGAGTGGGAGCTTGCTTTATGGGATTTCATGAAGAATTTCTCATGAAGAATGAGAGTTCACGAATAATGCATTCCTTATACATTGGTCCATCCATTTCTTCTTCCAAATGTATGTAAACTCAAGAATATGAAGTTAATTGTGCCTATATCGATATAGTCAAGATAGCTCGAGATAGCATGCCTCCGAGATTCACATCAGCGTTCGACCAGTACAAAATCAATATACATAGACTATCAGATAGGCTCGAGTGGCTCACGCGCCTAGCGGCCGAGGAGGGAGCGCAGTCACTTGAGGCACGTGAATGTGCGTGTAGTGACGTCACAGTTGGGATATGATTCGCCTTTAGCTTATACATAGACTATCAGTAAGGCTCGAGTGGCTCACGCGCCTAGTGGCCGAGGAGGGAGCGCAGTCACTTGAGGCACGTGAATGTGCGTGTAGTGACGTCACAGTTGGGATATGATTCGCCTTTAGCTCGCTTCGATAGGGTGGGGGCTTCCTTTGGGGATATAGCTGTTTTCATGATTCAACTATTGGCGATTGTTTCTAGCATGTATGAACAGGACAAAAGCACGGATTGCATCCCATCCCTTTTAGTCAATGCGTTGCACGTCAGCCTATACATTGTCTGATGTATAGTTGCCTCTCTCCTACCACGTAGAGGTGTGCATACGGCTTTAGGAGAGTCAAATAACATCAGGAAAATCAATACTATCAGAAAAGGAAAGAAACGCGAAAAGCAAGAGGCAGCACGACCAGAATAGGTGATTTTGAGTCCTGCAGAATGGGGCACTCTAGCCTTGCAATATTTTCAGCTTTGCCCATTTTCTCCTTCCCATTTTGGCTTCCTGTTCGGCATTCAGTCTTTTTATGCGGAAGAAAGTCCGGGTGCGGACGAAGAGCATTAATGCCTCCTGTGGAATGTCTGAATACTCACCTTTCAAATGGGAAACTAAGTCTGAAATCAAAAGGCCCCCATTCTTGAATCTTTCCCCATGCCAGGTTTGAAAATCCCTTTCCAGTTTCCTTACATTTTGTAGCCAAGACGTGCTAGGCTTAACCAGGCCACCTCTATCAATCTTTTCCAACCAACTGCAAGGAACCGCTTCATTTCCGTAACTCAGATCTGGACAGGTACTCTTTAATTTGAAAGCGATGAAGCCTGCAACTTTTTGCAGTGCCTCATTACTGTCATGATTGTCATTGCCAGCGTCATCTTCAAGGAAACAACAAATGTTAGTGTCTTGATCTAGGTCTCCAGGCTCAATGAATTCAGGAAGCCCTGACTCATTTCTGCATCCAAGAAATTCGTTTGGGAATGATGGCGATTCATCAGGGAAATTAT